CCACCATCTAGTGGCCACTATGTACACAACAAAAACTGAATGGCATCCTGAAAGAAGACTAGCAACTTTTAGGACGATCACGGTTGGGTATAAAGGTGGACTTTTTTTTTAGTTAAAAATATCACCTGTGGCAGTCAATTTTCTTTTGTTAATGGAAATAACAGGTGCAACCTGTGGCATAAGTAAAGTGGATGGAATTTTCAGCAGGTGATATATGACATGGAAATATTTGAAAATCTGATATCTCATAGGGAATTTCGCAAACCTATTGCATGAAGTGCGCGTGGATTTTTTAGGAACACCTTTGCTTTTTAACATGTTAGAGGAAACATGATTTCAATAGACAACATTTTATTCCCAAAAACTTCAAATAATGACTTGTGTTTCCTTTAAAGAACTTTTCAATATTCGTGGGAATTTCCTTTTGCTGGGTTTTCTTTTTCCCATGCAATTTCTTTGTACAGTAGCGAATCCAGGGGGGGGGGGTGCAGCCAGCCCCCCCCCCCCTGGATTCACTACTGTACGGAGAAATTATAAGGGAAAAAGAAAAACCAGCAAAAGGAAATTCCCACACCTTGTCACTTTTTTTAAGGTAGTATGTCTTGTAATTTCCCCATTTTTTCTGCTGACAACTGTTGTTTAATCACTTCAACATGTTCAAAGACAGAAATTTTCACAAATATGAGCAAATATATTCCCCACTTGTATGTTCAGGTTTTGCCTAAATTTTGGGCATCCGCCCCCCCCCCCCCCCCTTTGTTAATAGAAAAACTTTTTTCCAATAACAAACAATATAAACTAGTTTAAGATTCACTTAAAAAAAAAAGACATAACTAAAGTTTTACGTCAACTCAATTCAATACTGTGGCTAAATCAAACACACGAAGCTGGTGGCCTATACACAGGCACACAACGCAGCGAAACTGACTGGCAGCAATACTTGACAGGGTCAACATTCATAACATCTACCCAGGGAACCACAAATAAACTGGTGGCAGGGGAAAAACGGCTTATTGCACCCTTCTCCTCCACCACAAAGCCACCTCCACTATTCCTGTACCCCAAGGGTACGGATTGGCAACCCTCCAAACCCAAGGACCAAGGGTTGCAATAACAAATGTCATAGTCAACTCCGATGTGTACTTTTTGGGAACTACAGTCAATTCCATTCAGTGCCCCACGCACACGCACACACGGAGCAACGAGCTTTTGTCTCACTATATGTACTTGACATTATGTGACTTGTTTCGGCAGACAAAGCATCCAAGACTAATGTTTGAAGTGCGCTTTTGGAATCTACAGTCAATTCTCCGATGCACGCACATAGGGGAAAAAGGTTTCGTGTGACTGTGCACTTGGTGTAGGCTGACCTAGTTTCCGCAAATTGTGGGAGTATCGATTTGTACTATTGTAGGTGTTCTGGTTTCAACTTCAAGTGCGCGCAGTTTCCATTCTGCTGGATTAGTACGCTCCTAAAACTGTCCCCTCAAATATGACGACCATTTCTCAAACATGGGCTTGGTCTCCAGCTCTGGCCCAGGTACACTTTTCCACTTAAACTTAAAGGGAATATATATACATCATTTGCTTTTGCTGTAATTTTCAGAAATGGATGGAATTGGGGGGTTCGTATTATATAGCAAATATTGTTACAGTGACTTTTTTTAAGTTTTGGGTTCAAAAATGCTATAAAAACTAAGAAAACCTTCATTTTCCTGTAGTCTGGTTCCCTGATTCCATTTAAGAAGAAACAGAGCACTTTATGTACATTGGGGAATTGTAAGGTCAGGGAAAGAGTCTAGCTGGCTTGTACCGGTTCATAGGTGTGTAATCGTTTACAAACAAATGTGATGGTCAATTGGGGCCAGTATTTGAAAAAAGCCAGTTTTTTCCGACGCTGGTCGGCCGACCAGCGTTGGAAACTGATACAAAAATACCACTTTTTTTGAAAATGACAGTACACAAGGTGCCATGATTTTACAGGATGCTTTACACTGTCATTCACTAACAGTCAAGCAAGGTATTTCAAAATAATTAGATAGTTTTATTTTTTGATGTTTGCAAATGTTGTATTTTCCCTTTAATGGTCGCAGCAAATAGAAAGACACAGCACTATGACTTCAAACTAAAGGATCTGGTGTCTCTGGAGTAAAGAGTGCACATTATTGAGACTGATCCTCAAAATTCCTCGGTGAGGCAAACCGTCACAGTCAAAGTTTCGCAAAAGGTCTACTAGGCTACGGTGCGTTTCACGGAAACCCTGCACTGAACAACTTCACAAACTCTCTTAACACATACCAGATCAAAACTCGTAAGTCCCTGTAGACCGTGGAAGCATTTTGAGGGTCAGGGAATTTTTCTAGCAAAGGACAAGCGACAAGGCCTCCCAAAGTATTGCCAATTATGAGATGAACCCTTGAAGCACTCTACACAGAAGGGAATGCGATGATTTGCGGTTTCCATAAAAGTAACCAAAGTGCAACGCACCCGAGCCTAGGGTAACAGCTCCCCCACAGACTTTTTCACAATGATAAAATTGTGATCCCAAAAACATAGCACATTGAAAGCATCTGTGAGAAAAGTTTCCTCACTGGCTTAAACTTAAAGGTATAGTCCATCATTTGTAATTTGTGCATTTCGTTCGTTTGAAGTGACAAAAGTGTTCAAAATCTAATGAAGGATACTGAACAACTAACCTGATGAAGTTTCAGCTCAGCTTCAGCTGTATATTCCGAGAAAAACAGCATTCTAGGATCTCAATTTCAAATCAAATGTTACTGAATCATGTTTTGAATTGTTTTGAATTGCAGCTATATGCGATGTCGCGCACTGATCCGACGAATTATAGCAACCGTGCGCGCCTGTGTGTCGTGCCAATGCTTGCGCGCGCTGCGCTGAATAACAAAACGAACTACTAATTTAAATTTTCCTACTGTGCGTCTTAAGACGCACCGTTGGAAAGGCCTTCTCTCGTTGATTACTCGTTGATTAGTTTAGTCCACTTACTATCTTTCAACCAAGTATGTTTTTCAACAATAATACGCCAGTTACTTTTTCAGATGGCTGCAAATGATGGACTTTAGCTTTAATGCCATAATACTGACACAACAAGGAATCACCAAAGATCAAAACATTTACGACAGCAAATCCCTAATTTCGGCAACTTTTGGTGCTGAAAAAACTGTAGCATTGAGGTTTCTGCCTGAAATGACATCACACTTTTGCTCATGAATATGGAAATTGGCATACGCATAAAAACCAAAAAAGCACCTAAATACCCTTGAAAATGGCAAACAAAAATTGAACATACATTTAAGGTTAAAGAGAAAATACAACATTTGCAAACATCAAAAAATAAAACTACCAAATCATTTTGGAATACCTTGCTGGACTGTTAGTGAATGACAGTGTAAAGCATCCTGTAAAATCATAAAACCTGGTATACTGTCATTTTCAAGAAAAGTGTTATTTTTGTACCAATTTCCAACGCTGATCGGCCGATCAGCGTTGGAAACAACTGGCTTTTTTTCAAATACTGGCCCCAATTGACCATCGCACTTGTTTGCAATCGATTACACACACTATGAACGGGTACAAGCCAGCTAGACTGGTTCCCTGACCTTACAATTCCCCAATGTATGTAAACTGCTCTGTTTCTTCTTCAATGGAGTCGGGGAACCAGACTACAGGAAAATGATTGTTTTTCTTGGTTTTTATAGCATTTTTGAACCCAAAACCTCAAAAAAGTCAGTGTAACTATATTTGCTATATATTTCCAACCCCCCAATTCCATCCATTTTTTGAAAATTACAGCGAAGGCAAATGATGTATATTTCCTTTAAATGGTATATAAAGGTGCATTTTCAAGGAATGCATAAAAACGTTTTGCGGATACATGTGCACAAACATACATTTGTGTGTAGATGCCTATTCAATACAATTTTATTTGTGAATAAATGTTAGCATTTTTCAAACTAATAAATGCGGATATAACTAAAAGCAGGACTGCACATTATAAAATCAACAGTGCACTGTGTCGGTGTGGGGAAAGGGGTGGGCCCGTTGGGGTTGGTGGTTGGGTAGGGGTGGGGGTTGGTATGGGGGTGGGGTTAGGGAGGGTTGGAGATTGGATTCGGATGGGTGTGGGGTTGGAGGATTGAGATGCAGGTAGGGTGTTGAGTGTGGAGTTTTGAGGTTGAGGTAGGGAGCTGGAGTTGGAGGATAAGGTGGAGTTTGGGGCGGGGGCTAGGGTGGGGGAAATGGGTGGGGCTAGGGTGGGGGAAATGGGTGGGGCTAGGGTGGGGGAAATGGGTGGGGTTGGGGTAAGGGGTGGGGTTGGGGCAAGGGGTGGGGTTGGGGCAAGGGGTGGGGTTGGGGCAAAGAATGGGGTTGGGGTGTGGGTGGTGGTGCTGATAGGGTGATAGGCTGATAGGGGTGGAGTGGAATTTGGAGGTTGGGGTAGGGACTTGGAGTCGGAGGATGAGGTGGAGTTTGGGGTAGGGGGTTGGGGCAAGGGGTGGGCTTGGGGCAAGGGGTGGGGTTGGGGTGAGGGGTGGGGGTTGAGGTGCTAATAGGGTGTTTGGAGTTGGGAGTTGGAGGTTGGGGTAGGGACTTGGAGTCGGAGGATGAGGTGGAGTTTGGGGTGGGGGTTGGGGCGAGGGGTGGGCTTGGGGCAAGGGGTGGGGTTGGGGTGAGGGGTGGGGGTTGAGGTGCTAATAGGGTGTTTGGAGTTGGAGTTGGAGGTTGGGGTAGGGACTTGGAGTCAGAGGATGAGGTGGAGTTTGGGATGGGGGTTGGGGCGAGGGGTGGGCTTGGGGCAAGGGGTGGGGTTGGGGTGAGGGGTGGGGGTTGAGGTGCTAATAGGGTGTTTGGAGTTGGAGTTGGAGGTTGGTGTTGGGACTTGGAGGTTGGAGTTGGAGGTTGGTGTTGGGACTTGGAGTTGGGGTTTGGGTTGGAGGGTTTGGAGTTGCCTTGGCTGGGGGAGGGGGAGGTCAACTTACCATGTATACAAGGGATACTCTTGTTGACGACTTGTAAATCACTCTCCATAGTGAAGCACACGCCATTGGGCATGACCACCTCGGCAGTGATGGCAAAGTACGCATTGGCCCACCGATGAGCGCAGGTCTATCATGGGAGCCGTCCGCAAAATAATAACCCAACAAAAATGGGGAAGGGGAATGGACCCAGGAGAGCGTGAACATAATGCAAATTAAAAAAAAAAAGCACAAGCACTCTTTTTAAAGGACAAGTACATGTACTGGCGTGTGCTATGATGGTTCAACCTCCGTTTCCCATCCTGAGAGAAAATCAGTCAATTTTGGGCGGGATTGTCGAAGAAAAGGGCGAGAGTTATTTTGTGAATTTCGGGGTATGAACATAAAATGCACATCCAGAAATTACAAGCAACCTGCTTTATGTTTGGGACTTAATTGTCAAGAATATTGAAGTTTGTACCACTGTCAACTTCTTTTTTTTTGGGGGGGGGGGAGGTTAAAGATACTTAGTACTTAGGTTAAGGGTGCAGTTAGAACATTAAATTCACAATGATTAGTAGACTAAATATGACATTTCAGTCAATCTGTTAGAGGGCAGGTGGACACCAATTAACAAGGCAATGAGCGCAAACTCGTTACAGCTTAGCGCATTAAGCTGCGGCATTTTCTACGTCACGAAATCAACGACGGTAGCGTTATTTCCGCACGTTCCGCAAGCAAGCCCATGCAAAGCCTGAATCTGCGCAGCTTCCGGGAGACTTACCATTCAAGCACGGCCGTTTCTTGACCACGCTGGTAAAGTCCAGGGCGGCGTTGATGGAATAGCAGACGCCGTTGGGGAGGATGGCGTCAGCGTAATAGTCGTTAGACCACCGATGGCCGCACACCTGAGAACAACGGCGAGAGCGTGCAGAGGGGGGAAGGAAAGGAAGGGAGTGCAGTGCAGGGGTTAATGTGAATCATACTCAGGGTTAAAGGTCTCAGGTTCAAAGGTCAAAGGGTACATACAAGTGTGAAAGGTCAAGTAGGGGTTGGTTAGGTGTGGTTCAGTGAGGAGTGCATGCGACTCAAGGGAATCTATTGACCTCTGACCTCAATTTGTGTCCCTGAGCAATCAGTTAAGTCGGAAGTCATTTGGTTCCATAATGATAGCCCAGAAAAGAAAAACAGTGTCTCCCTGAAAAAACCAAACCCTCAAAGCACCCTCTTTTTCACAGCTTTTTTAAAAAAAAATCGCTTTTAAAAAATACATACATGTAGATAAAAAATGTGAGGAGTATAGTTTAGCTTTTCAACAACGAAAAAAATCTTTCCAATCGGGTGAACATTTATTGAGTTATGACCAATTCAGAAAAATGCTGTTTTTTTTCATTTTGTGCACAGTCGCAAGTTAGCGTAGTTTTGCTTGCTTTAATTTTTTTTTTAATCCTTTTTTGTTTCCCCCATTTTTTGCAACAATGGTCATTTCTCCTTTTTGGAAGAAATGGTAGTCCTGAAAAGGACTGTTTGGTTAACATCTTAGATGTTTACTGTGCTGCCTCTGCCCTCTACTTGGTAGCCTCTTTCACGGTTGCAATTCGGCCCATGTTCTTATTGCGACAGTCAAATATCAGTCGCTGAGACAAATTGAAAAAGCGGCACTTGTTTTCAATTGGCCATAACTCAATAGATATTTACCCGATTGGAAAGATGTTTTTGTTGTTGAAAAGCTAATGAACTTTACTCTCTAAATACATGTTATTATTATTATTATTATTATTAAAAATGTATCGATATTCCAGATGTATTTTTAACTGTGGGATAGCAGCTCAACAAGTCATCATGTCTCTCTGTTAGTCCGTTAGTTACTTAGTAACAAACGTTGACACTGTCTATTGTCCCTACATATTTTGACCGATTTCAACAAAACTTCGTCAACAGTATCAGTAAGCCAGCCCCATCATGTCACATGACCAAACTGGGGTCAAATGTCATCATGGGGTCACTGGGGTCAAAAAGCTGCTTTTTTTTCTTTTTTTTTACTCAAAACACTACTCCTTCCAGAAATTACATGGCACAATCACGTGACTCATGCATGAACACAAATTCGTTAGCCCGCAGCTTCCGAGATATTTCCGATGAGCTTGTTTGAAAAGCTGTGCACTTTGAGGGTTCATTTTTGTTAAGGGGGGGGGGGGACCCCTGTATCGCCTCATCTACAACAGGTGGAATTGCAATTGGTCTGTGAAACATGCCAAGGTTTTCTCCCAAAAAAAAGCCTTCCCCCAGTAATATAAGAGTTGCAGTAAGAACCATTTTTTCAACAGCTAAAACATAACTCATATTCCAGACGGCTCTCAAAAAAAGTCTTGAAGTCCTTGACCTGATTCCAGAAGGTTGGGGTCCCTTCTTTCCCAGCGATTTATGGATATGTCTCACAGGGCAAGGAACATTTTATGGTGTTCTCATTATTTGATGATGCAACTTGGCTGTTTCTTTTGTGTACAAATAAAGGAAAACCATGAAAGAAACTGTCTCAGCATAGACCATGCTAAGGAGCGATTACCTGTCATTGATCATGAAAACGGACTATGAATATGGGATCACGGAGCATGGCTTAGGCCAAAAAAAAAAAATATTCGGTCTCTGGTCAGACCAAAGTTCCGGAATTGACGCGGCCACGCGGCTTTTTTTTTTTTTTGGCTTTTTTTTTTTTTTTCTTCAAGCTTGGATTGTACAGACAAGGTGGGTACTATTTTGCTTTTTTGGTGTCCTCATGTACATTGGTGTCCTCCATAATTTGCCTTGGTGCTTTCGATCATTTGCCTTGGTGCCATTTCCCATTCCTTGGTGCTCTTTGGTAAAAAAAATTGAGGAGGTGCGGAAATAGAGGACGCTGTTGGAGCTACCGTGGAACATTTTGGAAAAAAAAAGATCGACGCGCATGATTAAAATCGACGCGCGCGCTGACCAGAGACCAACTTATTTTTTTTTTTGGGCCTTACAATGAGCTAACAGGTCATTGTTGACATCTTGTTCCTCTTTTTAACAAAAGGGTAAATTGATTGCAACAGGCATTTTCCCATTGTATATTCCGTGGAGCTCTGACACTGTACATTTCTTTACAGTTGGGTTACTGCAACCTGTTTGGTTTTGGTAGATTTTTGAAAGGTTTTCCACTCTAACGCCTTTGATTATTGCCAAGAATCTTCCTGTATCCTACAAAATCTTTCACTGTATACATGAACCCAACGGTATATTCTGTGAACTTCAAAGTAAGCTGTTTGGCTGTACTTTTCTCAATCCTACAAATTCTATCAAAACCGCCTAGTTCATTTCGAAGGGTGTGGGATTGTTAGACCTGTTTCAGACCGGTGTTCAGAGTTGCGAACCAAGTTATTCCCTATTTTTCCCCAAATTATTGAAATCATTTTAAAACTTGAACAAAGAAATTGACTGGAGCGAGGTTTGAACCTGTGACCTCCGGATTGCCGTTCCGGTGCTCTACCAACTGAGCTATCCAGCCCTATGTTGGCGGTTCCCCATTTTGTTGATGTCTTTGTTCGAGGGGCACTAGTCCAGCTGGATAGCTCAGTTGGTAGAGCACTCGAATGGCAATCTTGAGGTCGCAGGTTCAAACTCCGATCCAGTATATTTCTTTGTTCAACTATATAATTGTTACAATGTGTACCTAGTCAGTTTCCCGTTGCGGTTCATTCGGATATTTGAAACAATCAGGAACAACTATGTTAGTTAGAAGATTGGATTGTTACAGTCATGGAAAATTAGTACAAAATGTGTGTCTGTCAATTACAAAAATATATTTGGGTTGACCTCTTAATACTTATTTGTTTCTGCGCAACTCTGGGATATCAGTCTGAAAAGGTCTTAGGGTTACTTTGAGTGGTTATACTGGGTGTTTTAGGGGGTTGGGGGAGGAGGTGGGTTGGGGGAAGAGGCTGACAGCTTATACTTACGGTGACTCTGCCGTTTGGTCCGATGTTTTGCCGTGTTAGGGAGACCCCTAGCCACTGGTTGTCTTTGGCGTCGAGAAATCGTGGTCTCGCGCCAGGAAGACTTCTCTCATTACCTGAAAATTTACAATGAATTGTAAAAAAAAAAATATCTATTATAAATACATTATAAATGTGAACAAATTTATTGTATTCTGATTATTATACAAAAAATTAATTGTCACAATTTTGAGTTTACCAGATTCAAGGGTATTAAAATAAATCTGCACCAAATTTTAACTGTTCTGACAGAATTTTACTTTCATATCTGATTGACCAAAACACGATTGAACATAACATCCCACTGTCATTTTCTCCCATTTCTGGGGCAAGTCTTTTTTTATTTCTTTTTTGAAAAAATCTATTAAAAAAAATGTTCTTTTCAGAGCAAACATATAACCTACAACTTTAAACTTTAGTTTAGTTTTTTAGTGCATCTATCACTGCCTGAAAGTTGACATGGAAAATTACTAGGGCTGTCCATTTTAGAATCATTTAGTATTCGATTACTCAAAATTGCGTCTGACCGAATATCCGGATATTCGAAACGGCAAGCTGCAACTGTGTGCTGTGCCAATAAAAAGTTGCACGAAGACAGCGCCAGTTAAAATTGGCGCGCAGCAATCGATATGGGGTGCGTGAGTGTTTCGCAGTACGTATTTTGTGACTGTAAAGGGCATTAACGGTACATCCTTATAAAGGATGTGAACGATGAACCGCCATCAACCAAAAAAAGTGACCATCGACAAAAAGGTGGCACCTGACAATAAAGCCCAGCAAGTTAACGATAAAATAACATCACAGTCGTGTGTGTATGTGAGTAGTATTTGTTTTCGAATATTCAAACCGGCAAAAGCTATTTGAATATTCAGTTGATGATCGAATATTCGAGTATTCGGTACAGCCCTAAATATTACCAGTTCAACAAAAACGAGGCCACTCATAAACTAAGCCTTGTTTCCACTGTCCAAGTCTCATCTGAATATCTTACCTTTGTCATCCAATTTAACCTGCTGGCATGCTAAAGCTGTACGCCAAGAGGAGAGTCCACATTGATATAGCGCACCGGGTCGCACTAATGGTAACTGGTGTACTGAGTTTGCAGTCGGGGCACCGACTAACAGCCTGTCAGAAATGAAAATAAATTTCACTTAAAATCTGTAACGATGTGAAATAAAAAGCAACATTCTAGAGCTGTCAATAAATTTGACGGACTTTTCTGGGTGATCAATGAATTGAATTTTGACGAAACTTTTAATTATAACCCAAATTCAAAAAGTTTTAAAAATAGAAGCACAAAAATTTCTTTTTGGCAAATGTAGGTTAATACAATAATTTATTAGTTTTTTTTTAAGTGGCGTTTTTATATTTGTATCACTGTCTGTTTAATGTAACGTCGAGGTCGAATTAAATTGATAACAACAAATTACCATTGCACAATGCTGTTACTTCCCAACTACAACATGGTCCCAAGTTGTGCTGGGACATTCCCAACTGAAGTCTTCCGACTGGAACAAGTGTAGTTGGGATGGGCACAACTTCAGTCGGGACTGTCCCATCTAAAGTTGGGACCCATGGTCCAGTTGGGCCAAACAGTACTACTTTCTTAACTTAAAGGGAATGTACAACATTTGCTTTTGCTGCAATTTTCAGAAATAAATGGATTTGGAGGATTAGTATGTTAAAGCAAATATTGTTAAACTGACTTGTTTCACGTTTTTGGGCTTGTAAATTCTGGAAAAAGCAAGAAAACCAATCATGTTCTTGTGGTCTGGCCCCTGACCCCATTTAAGATGAAATGGAACAATTTACAGACTTTGGGGAATTGTAAGGTCAGAGAATCAGTCTAGCAGGCTTGTACCCCTTCACAGGTGTGTAATAAATTGCAAAGACAATGTGGAATAAGTAACTATGAAAAAGTAGGAGCAGTTTTTGCAAAAAAAAACACCAGTTTTTTCCAACGCTGGTCGACAGACCAGCGTTGGAAAAATACAATTTTTCTTGAAAATGTCAGCACACACAGAGGTGTTTCATGACAATTTGATCATTTCGTGTTTTAATATTTGCAAATGTTGTATCTTCCCTTTAAAGACAATGTACAACCCTTGTTTTTGCTGCAATTTTCAGAAATAAATGGATTTGGAAGATTAGAATGTTAGGCCTATAGCAAATATTGTTAAACTGACTTGTTTCACGTTTTGGGCTTGTAGATGCTTGAAAAACCAAGAAAACCAATCATTTTCTTGTAGTCTGGTTCCCTGACCCCACTTAAGATGAAACAGAGCAATTTATAGACTTTGGGGAATTGTAATGTCAGAGAATCAGTCTAGCAGGCCTGTACCTCTTCACAGGTGTGTAATCAATTGCAAAGAAAATGTGGAATAACTACATATGAAAAAACAGGAGCAGTTTTTAAAAATAAGCCATTTTTTTTCCAACGCTGGTCGGCCGACCAGCGTTGGAAAAATACAGGTTTTCTTGAAAATGTCAGCACACCAGGAGCCACAACTTTACAGGATGCTTGAGACTGTCATTCCCTAACAATCCAGTAAGGTCTTTCGTGATATTTGATCATTTTGTTTTATGATGTTTGCAGATGTTGTATCTTCCCTTTAAGTTTTACTTGGTAGATATTCAATATTGGGTTTTTGCCCTTCACCAGCGTATTATATAAACACTGTATATTCAGTTGTCCTGAGTGACTGTGAGTAAAAAAAAAATCACTCTGGTAGGACTCGAACCCACGACCTCCTACTAACTAGATATGTCTTACCACTCGACCATCCAGCTTGCCAGGGTTAATCTGGCTGGTTCGAATCTAATACGTCGGTGAAGGGCAAAAACCCAATATTGAATATGTACCAAGTAAAACTACGAACCGACGCAAATTCCGTCGTATAAATAGTTTGATAGATATTATCAGCTAAGCACTTCCATGACACTGAGCAGCATACATGCTACCATTTTATCCATAATGTCATTAGGAAGTGAAGTTTGTGCGGAGATATTTATAGCCCCAGAAAGCCACAGTAGCCGTGTCCGTTCTGAATCACTCGAGTGAATAATCTCTGTCTGAGGCTTTCTTCCTCTCAGCAATATTCAGGGACGAGTCAGTCTATGGGTAATGTTTGGGGGCAGGAGGGTTTATTCGTCGGATATGGAAGCTTTGGAGACAGGCTACACAAGATGAAGAGGAAAGAATGTTGTAACCTGATGCCACTTTTTTTCTTCATATATGCAAAAATGTCGAAAAGACATGAATCTGGGACTGAGAAACATTTCCAATTTTGTTAGGAAATACAATGTACTTAGAAAATGTTCGTGACTCTCCATAGACTTTGTACACAACCGCTGAAGTGGCGTCTGGATACTTCATTCTTTCCAACGAAGTAATCATACTTGTCTTTTGTACAAACAGAATGTTGTGTGTGGAATACTTATTTCCCAAATAACAGAAACTATTAAATAAGCATTCAAAACACTGTCATCAATGAAGAAAAACAAAAAGAAAGCTAGAACTTCAAGACTTTCATAACTTTTGAGGGTTATGAATTTTTTACACAATTTTCACAGCAAAAATAAAAACTGGACCCATTTCGATTTCAAAATTAAAACCTACTAAACCACTCCTTTCTGCCACTTATGAAACCTGAATCTTGAAAAACGTAAAATAATCATCACTACCGTGGGGTTTTAAAACTAAATTACAACGGTGCAATGTACAAAGTACGAAGTTCAAGTAGGCTATACACGTCAAAATACTCACAATTTTCCAGCGTAATTCTCATGCAAAAGTACCGAATATCCAAAATAGCTCAGTGAGGGTCCTTCATACGACACAGGGGCACTCGTGTCCAGATTGAAAGGTCGGACAACACCCAGCAAACACCACCAAACAAGTCCCAAGACAACGAACCTCCAGCCCATCCCAGCGTACACCGTCCTCAACCTCCACGGGGCCACACGACCCTCTGTCCCCGGGCAATACCGGGCTACGCAACGCCTCCCCGTATTCCTCACGGACTTTCCTTGTGTTGGCATTCTCAATGTTACTTCCCGCAAAAAAAGTGGCATAAAACGTGACCTAACTCCACAGAAACAGCTCAACTGCAGTCACATCAAGTTCTTTGAAGCACTACTCAGTTTACACGAGGCATTTTAAGTGGAACTTCCGCGACTCTGTAAACTCTGGAGAAGAAATATAAACCGACTTTTGCCGTCCCTGGCAGAGAATAGTCAGCACGATTTGTGTTTTTTTCAATGCCAGCATGTGTACTGTAGTACAGTAAGTCCGGTCGACCGCAATTTGACACGCGTCGTGACCACCACGTCACACACCACTGAACCAGGGGTAACCCACGCGTACAACTTTACACCTGTTGTTTTACTTGTAAAATAATTGACCCCAAAATATCTGGTTCAAGAATTACAACTTGATAGCGAAATCGCTGTCTGGACTGTTGTTCATAAACGGACAAGATAAGTTATGATGATTTTTCGTTCCAACAGCGGAACTGCATGATTTAAGGCGACAAGCAGACTCAAAACATGAGCATGCAGTACGTGACGTGTTATTATTTATCTCGGTGGTTTGGATGACAAGTCCCTAGTTTTGGCGGTTGCCCTAATTGGTTGCTGACGGCCGGACGTATGAACATGAGGAGTGTTCTCTCCTTAACTGATGACTGACAGTGAATGCTGGATGATTCATGTGTGGGATGGTTAGACTATCCCACGGACCATTTGAGACAAGTGTTCTTAAAATCCAGAAATGTGTGCATATCGCATGCTTAATTTAGTTGTGAGCTCACTCACAGAGCATCTAGAATCCAAAAATGTTTCGGGCCCCTTAAGAGGGCCCCGAACCCCTCGCCGTAATTTTTTTGGACGCACTTTGTGGGGGACAATTCCCCCCCCCCACCCCATTGTGTTCTGGATCCGCCCTTGAGAGGCTGATAAATTCGGCAGCAGTCTTATAACTTTCTGCAACCATGTGGAGGTTTGAAATAGCGCCCTCTCTTGATGTAATTCAACGTGAAAGTTCGAGTTTCCTTGATCAAAATAACTTTATACTGTGTGTCCGCTGGGTAAACGGGGTAGATTTTTACCAAAGGATAGGTTACCACAACTGTCTGTAAAATAAAATACATTAAATTAAAAAAACCCAGCCATTTTGGCACCAGTTGCAATTAAAATTTGGGCGATCTGCCCACCAAAAAAACCCTAGTCTTTCAACAATACTATGATAACATCAATCAAAATATTTATGTTGGGGTATGTCATGGTACGATAATAATGAAAACGCAACATAAACACAACATTCCAGACAGTCTAGCAGGTCACGAGATCAATAATCAAACATAATCATATGGTGGCAGCGCTTATCAGCGAGCGGGAATGATGGACCATAGACATGTGTCTATGACTATTTTTTTTAAAAGATGTCTATGGTTCCACTCCACCAAATACGCGCTCAAACATAGTAGAAAACAACTAGTGACACAAAATTGGACAAAGAGCCGCACGGTGGCGCTCACTCATGCAGGAGCAAGGCGGCAATGTGTTTTTCGATGAAAGATAAAGATTACGACCTCTAAGACAATTTTCTTTTCAGAGATAGCCGTATATATTTTTGTTTATAAAAAAAATATAGTCCCCTCCCCACTAAAACGGTGCCATTAAAACCACAACTAAAACGTTGCCAATCTATATATGGTACCATGGTCTAAAATGTAGACCACGTCTCTATGCGAAATTGATCTAGACCCCTTGAAGTTGTTTAGTGGTATGCACCCCGGACCCCTACGGATGAGACGGAATTCTCAAAAGTGCGCCCTCTTGCAGCGGATTTTCATTCTACATGGGCTCTCTACAAGATAGTACAGCCATCGTAAACCTGAACATTTTCTGTCAAATATACGACGACAGAGAAGGCAAGATAAGATTAAGAACGCGTACTCGTCTCTTAAGATGAACCACAGACTGCGTAAATGGTCTGTGGATGAACTCAACCAATTTGAACTATAGAGTGCACAACTGGTGACGTATATCTTTGCCATGATCCCACGGCTTGGTTGCCATGGTAAGGTGCCTGCCGAGACCACATATGGCAGCGATCATTCAACATCGAAAAGAAAATACACGTTATGTCACCGAGAAAATATGTATCAAGCTGTCTCGGATTTCTGGGGACTGTTTTTTCTTCATTTCAAAGGGACTTATAATGGCAAGATACATTTGCTACCCATATCCCCCAAAAGAATGGATCTTGTCGAAGACATGCAGTGGAATTTGGAAGGATGTCGATCATCAGCGAGAACAAGCTTTTGTTACGGAAAGACTCAGTTCAGGGCCTGTTCAATGACGGTAGTTAATGTTTACCACATTAAACACCATGTTGCTTACTTGTAACATTTTTTTGAAATATCGCCTAGACTACATGTCGCACTGTGGCAAATGCTACCATAAGTTTAGTACTTTTTTGGAGGGGAGGGGGGGGGGGGTTTTTCACTACGTCAGCAACTAATAACAGAATACTCCATCCATGAACGCATCATGCAATCTGACAGACGATCGCATCATCTTTAAAGGTGTTGTCTCGGTGATGCAGGCGCGACACTCTTGGATTGCGCCCTCTTGTGACTTGGTCGATTCAATGGTGCACGTGTTAAAATTTGTGAGCTGCATGATGGAGACAATATCATAACAGAAACTGACTTCAACCCTCTCAGACACTTATATCATGGAGCTACCATGCTTATATGCCTACCCTTATGCCGATAGTGGAAACATGTCTTCCAAAAACCGAGCTCACAAAAAAAAGAAAAATATATAATTTTGAGACGTTAAAGCAATACAATTCCAAATTGCGCCTGTCCACACGGGTCCATTCTTCCATAACAAGTCCTGCCAACTCGTAAATAATCGAGGATTACTCATAGCGCCTGATGAGACACTGTTTACAACATGAGGAGCGTTAGAAACAGGAGACGTCCGGACCGTGAAATTCATCAGCGCGGCGTCGTCCCAAGTACGACCCGTCATCCGTCACCGATCGCCCCCATGGGCGCTCGATGAGACAGCCCGCTCTCCACAGGACACCGTCTCGGGAAAATATCAATAAATCAACTCTACCACAAACATCAAAAACCAAAAACCAGAAGCTAAAAAATCCCCGCATGGATACAATGTGAATGTCCCTGATACAAAACGAGCACATTTTGCAATCAAATTTTGTTTTGTGTTTGTGTTTCCGGGTTTTTTTATATAGACGTTTTGGTTTCTTTTCATATTCCTGTGCTTCCTATTGTCTGAAACTGTTCTTCCTACCTTCACAACGAAATTAACTCGGACAGGTGTTTGCAAATTCCAACTTGATTAGAAAACTAATTAAAGCTGGAATGAAATTGATTAGGGCGCTCCGGTTGAGAAAATTAGATCTATAGGTCCCGTGCTACATGGTGACACGTTGGTCAAGCATTGTAAGCACGTCTTCGCTGGCCATTCAAACCAGAGATGGCCGTGGATTCAATAATGAAATCACTTATATAGAAACTGCGGACATCGTCATGTCAACCGTGGGCCAATAAAAGGACGTAGGCAAGTCAATATGCCCAAAATTGCCTACGCGGGCCAAATCACGGTCTGTATGCCCTCATTTTTTTTTTTTTTGCTATTCGAGCATTTTTGTAAGCCATGAACTTGAGGGTTTGGTAAAAAAAGAAAAGAAAAAAAAGAAGGGTGGAAGACGTGATCAAGACTGCAACATTTTATTTCTGTGAAATTCGGTTGAAATTAGGCCCTAAAGTTTCTAGTATGTAATGGAGCGTAGGCATCCCGTTTTAAAATGGCGATGGGTTTCAGGGCTACTTTAAGGGGTGATTGTCTTTGGATGGAATTTTTTCCCAAAACACATCGGATTACCCCCAAAAATTGAATAGAAAATGAAAGATGATGAAATTAATTTAATTTGATGGGCGTCTCAACAAACATCTTGGAGAGTTGTGAGTATTTTTCCTGATTTTGAGAAGTGGCGGTATTTATCATTGAGGTCTATGGCAGTTTATCTGCAACCCTGCAAGCTCTATTTATTGACCCTCTCTGGCGCCCTCTGTTGTTTATAGATGACAGACAGGTTTGAAATAGTGTGAGGATTTTTTTGTACTCACTAAAAGGAACTTGTTTCAAGCTAGATTTTTGTTTCATTCTAACAAAATTAGTCTGGAAATAATTAATAATTATTGTGAACTGACATAATTACTTTAGTTAGAGGTTGACACACACAATAGACGTCACGGGAGAAAATTTCCATGAGAGAACATAATCGGACGGAAATGTGTTCCGATCTTGGCTTTCATGTATAACATGAAGTACACCTCTTTCAATAATGACGTGCATAGTCACGACTGATATTGAACCATGACCCCAAACACAGACGTTACTGTCGTCACCACATTATCACTTCTGCCGTTGTACGCGATTTGAAACAAAGGAAATGTTTATTGTCTGGTGGTTGTCACCTCTGCCATATCACAGCACGAGAGAGGAAGTGGGTTATCCGACTAAATTTTGCCGTCTTCACTGTATGTAGTGGACGTGCGCGTGCACGTGCGATGCCCAGCACTTCCCCGGATATACTTCTGGACAGATAACGTATAGTGAAGCCAGCGGAACAGGAAACAACACACACGGATCATGCACGGATGAAGTGGGTCCATGGTCTTACTTTTTTGTCCTGTATCATTTACACATCACAACCACGCTGCTGATATCGTCATTGCACAGGGAAATATAAAATTGGCAAGGCACTCTATCTAGTCAGTTTTTCCATCGAAATTGGGAAGGCAACATAAGATAGTAGCTAGAACCACTAGAACCGAAAGGACGTACGGGCGATCGCGTTGGATGTTGCCACACGACGTGCACAGCTGTTCACTGCCACTGCATAAGAAGTAGACCGCGCTATACAGCAGCTGATGACAGATGCACAATTAGCTTCGCTGCGTGATGTGAGAGGCAACCGCCTTGTGTGGCCGACTCGACAGTAATTTCTCGTGGTCAGCAATAGGCCTATACATTGTAATTTTTTATTCGCAAAGCTGCTGGTGGAAACGTACATTTTGGATACGGGAATCGTGTCTATGGATGAGGTGTTATCTTAAAGGTCGAGGCTATACGCGTAGTGACGGAGGACTAAAAACGGTAACCTAGGCGATACCGCATTGTCGAGCCTCCATATCGGCAGTAAACGACGGTCTCTCGCACGACACGACAGCGCAGTTAGCGGTAAGCATTTTGATAGGTTGTCTTGCTCAATATCGAGTAATTTGCTCATGTTTACATGTAAATGTCATATACCGTTTTGTGCTGTACAAGTATTGTATATATAGAGCTTCAAGTTATCATGATACTAAATCCAATCCATCCAACGAGTGTTCAGATTAATCGCGTAAATCTATATTTGATCCCTGTGGTTTGTGTACTCTCTAAATTCCAAAGAGTGAAATTAGGGACTAGACGTTTTAGAGTGAAAATCACTCTCATTTTCGATTGAAATAGTCTGAAAAATGAACCACTTCAGTCGAAGCTCGAGTTAAAACTCTATTTTTACGATTGAAGAAATTTCACTCTAATATAAAACGTCTAGTCCCTAGTTTCCGACAGTGGGAGTGAATCTTCACTCGAATCGAATGGAGTGAATTTTCACTCTTTGGAATCTACACAAGAATAACGATCACTAATGGTATATATATAGCAACCCAGTTTGTGCATGGAACACCATGGTTTGGGTTAGCTGTTATGTGGTCCATGGATAAAACTGTGGCTCAATCAGCTCACTGTGCAAAACTGTGTAGCATTATACATGTACTTGGCAAAAGGCCAGTAGAAAGTAAAAAGTGCATATGACTGAGGAACTGTATGAATCAGACGAGTCATAACATCACTCCCGATTATTTACAAACAGTACCGTCCAAGATAGTTTCACTAATGTCAATTATTAAGACCTACATTCAGCTAGGTTTTTTTGTGTTTGACATTTTCTTCATTGGAGGCGGTGTCTTCAGTTCAAATATTAAGAATCGAGAGAAGTCAATAACGCCCACCGCCAACCTCAACAATCTAATTATTTTCACCATTACTGCATTGATTTAATGAGGTGTACCAGGTCAAACAATTCGAATCATGCAGGAAATAAGGTCAATAAAGTCTACCGTCACATTGAAAAAACAAAAACCAGTCCTACTCCTAGCCTTTTGAGGGCCCCCGACTATTAATGCATACCGCAGGTGTGCAAAGGCCGTGGCTTTGTGTGTCGTCATGTACAGTGAAATGCAATGCGGACCGTATGGATCCCTGAGGTATTGCCATTTAACACGACCAGCATGATTGCCTGTAGATGAAAGACGAGCTATATACATGTAGTATTTAGTAGAAGAGAACGATTTCCCCCAAAAGGACCGAGTTGCTAAATTATTCAAGATCACTTGGGAGACCCTGACATTAAAGGATGGTAGGGTTTATAGACAGACTGCTTTGTCACCTTTAAAATAACTTCCAAACAAGTTTAAACACTCGCCAAGAAAGATGCTAATACCCAATTTTTAAACTGAAATCAGGTGACTGTATAGTGTATGCAAGCTTATAGATATATCATAGAACAAGGAATGCACTTTAAAACTCCTATAGAGCAGTTTTGTAACAATTTGAATTATATTTTTGTTCAAATTTTTCCATCATGTGGCAACGTTAGGATAAGCCCATGGGTTGAACCATGGGCTGAACCGTGGGGTAAAGCATGGGGGTGAACCATGGGGCGGACCATGGGGTGAACCATTGGTTGAACCATGGGGTGGACCATCGGTTGAACCACGGGGTGAACCATGGGGTGAACCATGGAGTGAACCACAAACCCCATGGGATAAAAAAAAATGAACAAAAGGAATCCATTAACCCAAGGGATAGGCCATACCTTACGCCAAATACCATGACGAGTGCTGTATGAAGCCCCCATACGATAAACCATACAGGCTACCATAAATTATAGCAATTTCCATAGAAAAGCCGTACATGCTGGCCACAGAGGATGTGGGTTAGGCCTAAACCTCCTACATTTCTTGCACCAAAACATGCGGTGTTAAATTAACACTGCGGTATCCATATTCATTGGATATTCATTGGTGTGGTTTGCTTCGGTTTGTTTTGTTTGTTTTTGTTGTTTGGCACTCACACAGATACAAAAGAATAAGGAACAACAATGTATAGAAATATATTTAGACATGTAAGGAGTACGGGAGCTAAACAAACACGGGACACTGAAACAAAAGCTGGTGCCTGGATAGCCTATATAAGTTCCAATAGGGTCCGATAGGCCGTTTAGATACAAAACAAGCAAAACAAAACAGCTCAAATTATAACTCAAGAAATATACACTTCAACACTACGCATCAAAACAGAATTATGCAAAAATACCCAACAGAGATTATATTAATACTCGATAAGTATCTCCTTCTGCCAGGTTAGAACTTAGATACAGACCTCAGTTATTGCAATGTATCCTGGAAGTGTGGTCCCTTCCTTCCGTCCATGGGTAACCCACGCCAGAGTAAGTTCTCCATGGTTATTAGGCTATACACCACGCTTGTCCTTGAGTGGCCGCATTAACTTAGTACCTTGAACTCATACTAGGCCGATATGCATCGTGCACAAGCGCTGCACGGGTCGTGTGTTTTTGAGCGTCGATTTCCGTTATGTCAAACAACGCTAATTTACATTAAAGTCGCATCAAGATTTATTTTTTGACAATCTTATAGTTATAGGCCTAAGTTATGCATAATGTGAAAAAATCTAACAGGGAAGTCCGTACATTTTTTCCCAATAATGCGACAAATCATTAGACAATCATTTTGTCAAAGTAACACATGAATGATATTAGTGTATTATAAATTAACATCATCACCATAACAAATCCAACACACATCGGACTGAAAATATTAACGGTAGTCTGTTAGACCAATGCCTCACAGATATCATTCAAATACAAACTAAGGATCTACTCCCACTATACAATACCGAGGCCCTCCTCAATCTCAACGTCAAGAGATGCACCGGGGCATTGATATAATTTCCCCGTCATATCTGTGCTCTCATTGGCTGTTGGAGAACACTGCGCGTGCTTTTCACAAAATTTACCTTGGATCTCGACGCCAAATGATTAATCCAACTTTAAAATGTTCCCTTAATGCAACCTTTAACGATTTTAGGATAACCATGTTGGGAATAATGATTACCTACATCTGCAAGCAGCTTTTGCAAGCGCTGAGCTCATGTTTCAGACGCGCGTGTAAGACAGACAGGCCATCGGATCTCGCCGTGTCTCGGGTGGTTCGATCTGACTGCGTGTCGACGCCCTTTCGACCCTAAAAATTCAGGTGACAATGGTTCAACCATAACGAGTCGCGGTGAAACCTAATCGGCCGTGGATCACCGGGGTGGGTTGGCCAGCTGAGCCCGCTGTCGCCCACGTGACAGGTTCCTTCACACCCCCCCTACGGACTCGCCTGCCATTAAGGACCTCTGTCCATACATCAAAATCAATTCAGACAACCGCAAACATTCATACAGTCACACTTAAAGGGAAAATACAACATTTGCAAACATCAAAAAATAAAACTACCAAATCATTTTGAAATACCTTGCTGGACTGTTAGTGAATGACAGTGTAAAGCATCCTGTAAAATCATGGCACCTGGTATACTGTCATTTTCAAGAAAAGTGGTATTTTTGTATCAATTTCCAACGCTGATCGGCCGATCAGCGTTGGAAACAACTGGTCTTTTTTTTCAAATACTGGCCCCAATTGAACATCGCACTTGTTTGCAATCGATTACAAACCTATGAACGGGTACGAGCCAGCTAGAGTGGTTTCCTGACCTTACAATTCCCCCATGTATGTAAACTGCTCTGTTTCTTCTTATATGGAGTCAGGGAACCAGACTACAGGAAAATGATCGTTTTTCTTGGTTTTTATAGCATTTTCGAACCCAAAACCTCAAAAAAGTCAGTGTAACTATATTTGCTATATATTTCCAACCCCCCAATTCCATCCATTTCTGAAAATTACAGCAAAAGCATAATGGAGGAAAAATATTTTACAAAAATCTTCCACAGGATGTTTTGTTTTATGTTTTGTTTTCTTTCGCAAACCATCGCACATTGAAAATAGGGACTTTGGTTTGAAGGGGAAAACACTCGAAGTACAACCGGAAAGAGACCAAGAAAATAATACTTTAATAATAAACAAGCTAGGAATGCACTCCGACGCACGTTGTTTTCACTGATCAAGTTTCGCCACATTCGTTTTTGCCAGTGCCGTTTCCCCTACGACTTCGTGGTTATAACTCCTGTTGACATGAGGCCAATATTTCACCCCTTTCCAAAAAAGGAAACGTTTGATATCATGATGCCCGATCAGTCAATCACCCCACCTCGAGGCGAGGTTTCAATTTCTTTCCCCCGGATGAGCATGGTTGACCAGTGGTCGGTAAAGTTTCTCATTGGCTGTGAACATTTAAGTATAGAGTTTCATTTCCGTGGTACTTGTGTAACCTAAAGGTGTATTGTTGAAATGTTTTCTTTTCTTTGTAATAGTTCTATTTGTGAAGGGGGAAAACTTCGTTATTGCAACTTTACTATAAACAAAACCTTACAAATGTGCTAAAAAAATAACGTATAGGGGTTAAACCTGTAGTAATTTGAAGCAAAACAAATATCAGTGAAGTCAGCTCTGATGTTGTTTTTGTATTCTTACAGTTTCACGAACACGGTAAACGTCGACGAGTTTAGAAATGAAATTGTTTCACTTTTATAATCAATGGGGTCGATAATGCATGTTCTCAAAAAAGCGTATTTGTGAAGGGGAAAAAACGTCGTTATTGCAACTTTACTATAAACAAAACCTTACAAATGTGCTAAAAAAATAACGTATAAGGGTTAAACCTGTAGTAATTTGAAGCAAAACAAATATCAGTGAAGTCAGCTCTGATGTTGTTTTTGTATTCTTACAGTTTCACGAACACGGTAAACGTCGACAAGTTTAGAAATGAAATTGTTTCACTCTCATAATCAATGGGGTCAATAATGCATGTTCGCAAAAAAAGCGTATATAAAATAAAGTGTGAAGAAAATCTCAGGAAAAGAAATTTTCTGTATATTATAATGAATGCAAAATTATTTAGAATTAAGATGCCAAACGGTTACACTAACTCCCGGGAAAATGGTTAAGAAAA